TTATATGTAATCTGGATTACGTTATCAGATTCCACAAATTACATGTAATTAGATTACATTACGTTTTTTAAAATACTCATATCAGACTAGTTACAGTTTTGATTACATGATTACTTAATGTTCACAAAATGGCAGTAAATTATTCATTATTTATTTATTCTTACTATTTTTAATTTTTATGAATGGTCCAGGTTATATATGTAGAGAAAGTCTTTTAGTTTTGTGGCATTACAAAAGGTCAGAGGCCACAAAGCATAACAAATAAAATATTTCATCTCTCTGTGCTGATTGCTTTTATTTTAAAATTTCAAATTTTTATGTTTTTAATAATCATTACCTTTTCATCAAACCCCTTGCAGGTCCTTTGCAAACCCCAGTTCAGGAAACCCTGACCTAATATAATGTTTAATTCCCCTAATTTTAATTTAATTCAAAAAAAAAATTCAAATTTTCAAATTTTCAAGAAAAATGCAAAAAAATGTTCTTAGTTTTCACAGAGTTTCCATTCCTGGAATTCCCCCATTAATGAACAGCCATCCCTCCAGATTATTAAATGTATTTGGATGTCTAAAATATCTGGAGTATGTTATCTATCTATCATTATACAATTATTATTTAAATGTATATATATTTTAATTTTATTTCAACTCTATAATTAATAATTATAAAAAATATTATTATTATCATCATTATTATCATCATCATCATTATTATTTTATCCCCAAGTAAAAATTCAGCGATTTCAACATGAACTCAAATATGTATCTTCTGGAAGATCAAAAAACAATAACAAAAATAATAAATGTTGTTGTTGTTAATAATAATACAAATATATATTTTTATTTTGTAAAGAATTTAAGAATTATTATCATCTTTATTATTTTCATTACTTAAAGCAACCTTGGAGTTTCTTAAAAACATGAAATAATGAGAAAAAATTAAGAGAGAGATATCTGAAACACACCTGTTCCTAACACCAGCCCTGAAACACTATTAATGGTGTTTTATGAGCGTCAAGGGTCAAGTGAGGTTAAATGTCGAAAGACCAGTGTTTTAAAATAGTACAGGGGGTTGTGGTCTCACAACGTGAACACAGGTGGAAACACCAAATATAACATCACAATTAGCAAAGATCACATGGACAACAAAGATAATTAAATTAGTGGCTATAGCATATTTTTACATAAGCTTTGATCTGATGATCAGTGATGCGAGTCCACAAGGGGTTAGACATGCCTCAGCACACTTTAACAGAGAATGGAAAGAATAATAGATTTCTACAAAAGAAGTTAACAGCTACAGACTGTATACTGCAGAGCTAGTCGTTTTGGGAGAATTGCTAACATAAGCATTGAAAGATGTTTCACACAGACAGTTATTTCCCATAACATCCAAAAGTGATTCATCAGTCCATGGAAAGAGAGAGAGAGAGAGAGAGAGAGAGAGAGAGGAGGGGGGGGGGGTCAGAGGGCAGTAGAACATCTGAAGAATTATTTGTGTCATTCAAGAGAAAAAGGTTACAAATCACAGAGGCACACAATCACTGCTGTGGTTTAATAGGACAGAGGAAAAGGGGTAACGTGTGGCATCTGTTAAACTGTGAACACACAAATCTCAGGGCTGGCCTATACTCTTCCACAGTAAATCTTAGCAGGAGAGAGGTGGGAGCAGGCAATGTGTCTTCTCATTCACTCACAGCATGCTCGCGTTTCTGTTCCACTGGCATGAAGAGAGGGCCATTAGAACGACACGGTTTGATGAGACTCAAACACAAATAACAGCCTGTCTGAGAAGATCAATGTCCATGTAACAACATTTCACCCCAAAATTAAATTAAATAACTTAAAGATATGGACCATATTGACAGACAGTGAAGGACTTTCCTCTGCAAATTCTCATTACTGGAAAATGTTTATATTTTATTTATATTCATTTATAAATAATATTTATATAATTATATATAACTATATTTATTTATATAATATTTATATTCGTGTTTTACATGATATCACCGTTTAAACTGAAATATTAAGCAGCGCAACTGTGTTCAACATTGATATTAAAGGTTTCTTGTTAGATTTATAATGATTTCTGATGGGTCATGTGACACTGAAGACTGGAGTGATGTCTGATGAATATTCAGATTTCCAATCAAAGGAATAAATTACATTTGGAAATATAGTAAAATAGAAAACAGTTACAGTTTATGAGTTATTATAAACTGTGGTAATATTTCACAATATTACTATTTTTACTGTATTTTCAAACACATTTAAATATATTACTGACATAACTGACATAAAATATAGTAAAATAGAAAACAGTTACAGTTTGAGTTATTATAAACTATAGTAATATTTCACAATATTACTATTTTTACTATATTTTCAAACACATTTAAATATATTACTGACATAACTGACAAATAATGTCTTAATTTTTTTATTGTTAGAATCAATCACCTCAATGTTAATCAGATACCCCTCATCTCTAGATATTATCCTTACAAAAGTCTGTTCAGTAAATAGGCCTCAGATGCCATTTCCACCACAGAGAGGAAGAGATGGAGCAGGGGTCGATCTCCTGAAGGAAACAGACAGCTGCTAAGATGAGTGTGAGCATGAATTGAGAGCTGCAGGGTCAGAGCAGCTGCTAGACCACACACACACACGAAACAAAGTCTTGAAGAACCGCCAGTCATGTGCTCTAGCTCAAACTGCAAACTAACCAGATGAGTCAGGCCAAAGGGGCTAAATCTGCAATCAAAAGAACAGCATGCTCCTGTAAAATACTTGCAAAGGAACCAAAAATGTTGTCTAGTAAGTAAGGGGTAATTAGATTTGATTAATTTTAACCACCACTACCATGATACCATGACAAAAAGCATTTTTGTTCTGTTCAATACCTCGGTAATCAGTTTTTCCTTCATGAAAACAATATATCCCATCCTAATAATTCCCTGCCCTCTGACCCCTACAGCCCCTCCTCATCTAGACTCCGGTCGGCCACTATCCATTCCACTGTCACACTCCGCATTGGTCATCCATCAAGAACCTGACCCCCTTACAAAATACACTTCAAAGTGCTGGATGAACCTTTATTGAAATTTCCCTGTGGGGAGAAAACCTCCGTCAGACACATATTCCCACCATTAATCAATGTCCTGACTCCTGCAGATGTGATAATCAGCTGTGACAGCGAGGAAATGCTTGTTCCAACTGAGTACAAACTCTGCTGATGCTTGCAAAATTTTCACAAACAATATTTTTTGCAAGTTTTTAGAATGTTTATCTTAGATGCAGTAACACATTTTTTTTTCATCCTGCAGATTTGCTGTTTCCTAACCAGGGGTCAACCTGACAAGATTCCAACAAACAGCAATTTTTCTATACACACACACACACTGAAAAGCTGTGCGACAAGATCCATCCGTCACAAAACACTAGAGCTTGTTCGAACACAAAGCTTTGACACCTTTACAAATCACTTGTTTCGAATCAGTGAATCGAACTGACAAAGTCATGTGATTTCAGTAAACACGGCTTCCTTACATACACTTTCTACACTGTAAAAAAAAAAATTCATGATTTGTAAATCAACATTTTTTCTTTAGTCAAATCAACTTAGATAATTTATGTAGTTCAGATAACATAATATTTTGAGTTTCTGGTGATTAAATCAATCTCCTTCATTGTATTAACTCAATTTTTCCATTTCAATGAACTTAAAATTAAGGCAACTAGGTTACTTATTTTTTTAAGTTAAACCAACAATATTTTTTTACAGTGTATATATTCCTAAATATCTAATGAATTAACGAACAACACTTGCTATTGTTTTCAAAGAATGTGTCGCTCATTTAAAAAATTAAAAACAAAGTTTAAGTTTTATAAGCTCAAATCCTCACCTTGCTCTGTTCTGTGATGCACGTTCGGGACTCTCCTGTTCGAACTCGTTCATTTAAAATGAACAAATCTTTTTTTGAGTCATTTGGTTAAAAAAATATTCGTTCATTTTGATAAACAAGTTTGAACAGGAGAGTGACGAACGTGCATCACAGAACAGACCAAGGTGAGGATTTGAGCTTATAAAACTTAAACTTTGTTGTTATTTTTTATTTTTTTTAATGAGCGATCGTTTTGCTTGATAAGAGCCTTATTCATCGTCTGGAATTGTTTAAAGCCCTTCAATGAAACTGTCTTTTGGACCTTGAACCATTTGGTTCCCAATGAAGCTCATTATAAAATCCAGAAAAATCCTGGAATATTTTCATCAAAACCATAATTGCTTTTCGACTGAAGAAAGAATGACATGGACATCTTGGATGACATGGGGGTGAGTAAATTATCAGCAAAATCAGTTTTTTTTTATAAGTGAACTACTCCTTTAAACGAGCAAACAAACTGTAGGCGACAAATTCATCAGATTGTACTAATTTGTTCCTCCATTTTAATTTACTTAAATCTTGGCCACAACTTTAAAACTAGGGAAGACATTGTAGGCTACATTGTACACATTTATCCCCTTGTTTTAACATGGCCACAAATTTAATCAAAAGGAACATCTAAGAAACGAATCAACACAAGTAGTAGTTGATATACATGAGGACAGGTACTCCATTCCAAGGAGATTTCTGTGTGGGCAGGGCTACCTATTATGAATACTGTCATCTAATTAATATTCATGAGCAAGGCGGGTCAGATTTCCAAAGCATTCCTTTCCCTTTTCAGATCCTTCAACCTTGATTTTAGAAAACCTGACTGCATTTTCATCATGCTTCACAGATCATTAGCTTTTAGTGTCTTTAATTAACTGAGCCTAATTAAAACTAACAAAGCGAGGAGTAAAAGTTATGATATTAATGGCAGAGTCCATTAAAGCCTGCTTGTTCTGAATGCCTAGGCTAAATGAAGGATGGAAATCAATTCCATGTGTCATGTCTGTTTCTCCAGTTCTGACAGGGAGGATAGAGAGACGTACAGGGACTCATCATGTCTTACCTTGCACAGAGGCCCAGAGAGGGGCTCCTAAAAGATGCAGAGATCCAGAACTGATGGAGACTTTACACATGCCCAGAGTCCCACCGCAGCGTCCACCTCCTCTCACACACACACCTGCAGGGATAGCACACATACTGGGGTTAGGTGGAATTCAGAAACAGTGGAAGCAGAGGAAAATTTCACAATTACTATTAAAAAAGTTCCAAATGTCTATTTGAAACAATAAGAAAGTAGAGAATGCCCAGAGAGCCTCTACCATCTCTACAGTCAAGACGAAAGAGTTCAACTATGCATACTGTACGGCACACACCTGCTATGGAGTATAAGTTGCAGGGTGTAAAGGTGAAAAGCCTGTTATTATGTTACCATGAAAGCATGATCATGGCTTTCTTTCTCTTTGACCCATCAGGGGGTTCACATGGGTCTCAATGGACATGGAGCCAGGAGAGATCATATTTTGCCAGGTACATTATAATCTGTGAAAGTTTTAAGTTCCTCAAAATAAAATATCTACTCAGCACATGCTATTTCTGAGACAATTGGAAGAGCACACCGCCCCCCACTGGATACCAACCAACATTACCTCGGTGTGAGAAACCATTAAAAACAACTAAAAACTTAAGAGCCATTTTGACTTCTCCTGAATTTGGAAGTAAATTAATAAATTCGTTTCAGTGTCTGCGTGTATCATATGTGAATGTATATATTCTTATGTTTCCACTCTGCCATGTTCAGAAGTGCATGTATGAAACACAAAGTTTAATGTAACCTTTGTAAAGTGTCCAAAATCTGATGGGACTTTCCTCTCTCCATACCCTTATACACTCAGTCAGGAATGCTAGTTACTATTTAATCTGTGTTTAATAAAACCAGTGAAGAATGAAGAGGAGATTCAAGAGGAATGTGTCTGTTGTTATATCTTCTCTTCGGTTATCACTCATAGTGTGTGCTACCACTTCTAAATTGGGTCACATCTACACACACAAACACGTGGAGAGGAGAGGGGAAACGGAGGTTCACACGTGCCTGATCCCGTCTGCTTCACAGAAAGGGGGAGCGACTGGGAAAATAAAGGGGGTGAATGGAGGTCTACGACAGTTAAGCATAACACACACAATACAAGAGTTCTGGAAAATCTTTTTTACTACAAGTTACTAATAAAGGTTGTAGCAAAATGAAGTTATAGAAGAGGACAACATCTTCTAAGAAGTACATAAAAACAACTGTGGACTTCCATGTCACTAAAAAATATTAAATAAACACTACCGTTCTAATGTCTCTAATGCTTTTTGAGGATGCATTTAGTTAAACCGTGAAATTTGATTAGAATTAAAAATAACTTCTTATACTTTAAAATGTAATTTATTCTTCTGATGCAAAACTGAATTTTCAGCATCATTACTCCTTCAGAAATGATTAAAACATGCTGATTTGCTGCTCAAGGAATATCATTTATTATTAGTAATGTTGAAAACAGTTCCTATTTCTGTGGGAAAAGTGATGCATTTTTATCAGGATTCTTTGAAAGTCCAAAGAAGAAGAAAAGAAAAAAAAAACACCCCAAACTTTAGAACGGTTTAGTGTATACCTATACTTATCTTAAAACCATTAATGAATAGCAACATATAACTACATATTTTCTATAAAAAAGAAGACCAACGCAAACCCCTTCTGTGAGAGACAGTTCAGGAGAGTCTGCATGATTATTTGTGTGTGCAACACAATGAGACTTTTCAAAACTACTGTCATGCTACTGAAAATTTAATACACTCCTATGTACAATGGATTACTTATAAGTTTTATCCTAGCTAATTTGCTCCTCCTCTCCCTTATCAGCCACACAGAAACATTAAAATGTTGTGCAGTAATTAATCACTGAGCCACTGTCTGCAAACTGATACAATATGGCCCATTGATTTTGCCATGACCTCAACTGGCTCGTCTGAGATAAACGTAAGCCTGTTAATTGGCACAGCTCTTTGGTTTCAAGTTGCTGTACTAACATTCAAGCTGATATAGCTTTCATTTCCGTCTGAAAAAACAGGCTCTAGTTCTTGACAATAAAAGCACTGATTACTTTCAGAAGAACTCAATTACATTTGATACAAGATACAGAGGATCAGACGGCAGAACATCTGCCTGACTGGAGGTCAGACTCATCAGAGCTGTGCTGCCACTGTCACAATGTGTCATGATGTTCATCCCTTGTGAAAAAGTGTTCGTGATTATAGTGAATGTGCACTTTTAGTGTACTTCAAATATTAAAAAAAACTGTACTTGTAGATAATACATTAATAAAATAAAAGGCCACTTAAAGGAGTAGTTCACTTTTAAAAAAAACTTTTGCTGATAATTTACTAACCCCCATGTCATGCAAGATGTCCATGTCATTTTTTCTTCAGTCCAAAAATAAATTAAGGTTTTTGATGAAAACATTCCAGGATTTTTCTCCATATAATGTATTTCAATGGGAACCAAACGATTCAAGGTCCAAAAGACAGTTTCAGTGCAAACTGTAAAAGGGCTTTAAACGATTCCAGTCGATGAATAAGGGTCTTATCAAGCGAAACGATCGCTCATTAAAAAAAAATAATAGCAAAGTTTAGGTTTTATAAGCTCAAATCGTTGCTTTGCTCTGTTCTGTGATAAACATTTGTGACTCTCCTGTTCAAACTCGTTTATCAAAATGAACAAAACTTTTCCAGAGTCAACTCGTTCATTTCGTTCGTTGAATGAACCAAGTGACACGAAAAAAGATTTGTTCATCTTGATAAATGAGTTCGAACAGGAGAGTCACGAACGGGCACCACAGAACAGACCAAGGCGAACATTTGAGCTTATAAAACTTAAACTTTTTTTATCTTATCAATCACTTGATAAGACCCTTATTCATCGTCTGAAATCGTTTAAAGCCCCTTTGAACAGATTGCAGTTTGCACTGAAACTGTCTTTTGGACCTTGAACCGTTTGGTTCCCATTGAAGTCCATTATATGGAGAAAAATCCTGGAATGTTTTCATCAAAAACCTTAATTTCTTTTCGACCGAAGAAAGAATGACATGGACATCTTGGATGACATGGGGGTGAGTAAATTATCAGCAAAAGTTTTTTTTAAAAGTGAACTACTCTTTTAAGTGTACTTAAAGTATAGTTTAAGGACTGTTCCTTTAGCACACTTAAGTAAAAATATTTTACATGCTGACCTAAATTACTAAAGTTCTTTAAAGTACTATTATATTAATTGTAGTGTGTTATTATTACATTTAAAATTAATATTATAAAATGTACCAAAAGTGGAAATTCATCATTACAAAAGTATAGAGTATAGTTCATAAATGCTTGTCAGTATATTCGGCAATGAATTCATTATTAAATTACATACAAAAATATACTCTATGAAAATCTTGCCTTCTGCACTAGTTCTTCTTGCAGATCTCCATTTTCCTGCATCCTGAATATTAAGTGTTCTACTTCCTGCTTTATGCAAATACTGTTAACGAATAGCAAAAGCAGCAGGAGTGCTAGCTAGTGCAGATGGTACAAAGGACATTTGACCTTTTTGGAACTTTTGAGTTCAATGCTAATAAAAAAAATGTGTATCACTATGAGGTTTAGTAAATGATGACAATTTTTATTTGTAGGCAAACTATCCAGTAAAGACATTTACTATTAACCTTACACCGTCTGACTGTTCAGCACCTGCTCCCGCTGAGGTAAATGTGTATCTGACCCATTCTGAGCTCAGTGAGAAAAAGAGAGAGCCTGCAGGGTGACAGATGGCGAGGACCAAGCGTCAGGGACTCGATCAATCCACTTCTCTCCTCCACCTCCTCTCTGACCCCATCATCCCTTCTTCCAGACGGAGAACGCAGCTCAATGTCTCTCATCATTTTCCCATCCCTGAGAACCATGCGTATGGATACACAGCAGGACAATACAACGCCAGCCGCGCACCACAACACAGACGCTGATGACTCCCTCTGAACTTGTAATACATAACTGGGAGTTATGACGCACCCACACATGGAGCAGAGCGGCCTGGGGTCACAGACTGGCCTTAATTAATGTGACCTGACGGTTTTAAACTTCAATGAGTTTTTTTTAATTAATAATTAATTTTTTAATTAATAAACATTAATTTAACAACATTAAATGTCACATAAAACCCTAATGGACATAACTTGATTCTTCATAGTTTGCTTAGTCTTTTTCTAATCAGTTATTTCAACAAAAATACATAAAATACGAAGTGTCATGTGGGGAATTGTGGGAATGTCAATATACGTTTTTTTCACTGTAAATTATACAATGAGTTGTTCATTTTCACTTTCAAAATTGTAAATTTAACGTTATTTTAATTACATGAAATTTACCATTAGATCTATCACAGTTATTTACTGTATATAGTAAGGAAAGGTTCAGTTAACAGTTTTTCACTGTAGCATTTTATCGATCAAGCTCTGCACTGTTGTGCTTATTATACAACGTTATAATGAATCATTTTGCACTCATTCAAAAAGAATGTAAAACAAGCATTTTTACTAAGGTTTTTAGAAAAACCTTACACGAAACCTTTAGAAAAACCACTATTGTATATGTGATACTATAAGAAATGTGGGTGCAAAAGTAGAACCTGTTTCAGGTATTAAGAAAAACTGCACTGTGGATTTGTGCTGTTATTTATTTCAGTCATGGAGAATCGGATTACCGTCGAACTCGTCCTGCTTCTGAGCTTTGGAATGGCATTAGTGTTTTAATTTTACAAAAACTGAGCCACATTTGCTGACCTTCTGACTGCAGCCTTGTGATTTGGTTCAGAGACAGGATACTCCCATGGGCTTAAAAGAGCCTGAACTCAAAATTCACCTGCTTTGCTCCCGGTCTGTGTCGTCCTATATTCTCTGAACAAGATCTCATCTCAAAGCCTTTTCATAAGAACCCTCTTCTGATCCCAACACAGGTCAGTCAGGTTAGGTTCAGTGTCAGTCTCATGATCCAAAGTCATGGGTTTGATTCACTTTTCCATAAAAGCATCTGACAAATCTGTAAAGGTCCAAATGAGAGTTTCAGTGCAGCTTCAAAGGGCTTTAAACGATTCCAGACCATGAATAAGGG